CTTGACTCTTACAACAACTCCTCTGTAAGATTGATATTATTGTTTCCGATTTAGAAAGGGCAGCTGCAGCAGAGAGGTTGAGTGACTTGCAGGGTCACAGCTAGTGAGAGCTGGGACTGGGCTTCAGGTCCAGGCAGTCAGGCTCCAGGATCCGTTACGAATGGCCGAGTGAGTCCGGTTCCCGTTCCCCCGCGCCCGCTCACAGAGAGATGTCGCCGGTTCTCAAGGCATACATTTTTTTCCAGTTAAAATGGATTTACATTCTCTCCACTATCCTTCCCTCCAGCTGTTCATTCAGGCAATTTGTAACACTCTTGTGACCAAGTACCAATCTAGGCACTGCGATATAGAAGTAAACGTTAGTCCCCACTGCCAAGAAATGGAAGATCTGATGGGAGAAGATTCAGAGGAAAATGGACATGTACTATCATGTGTTAAGTGCTACGATGAATATGCCCAGAGGGGGAGCACTTAGCTCAGCCATAAGAGGGGAACCCCTAGTCTGGATTTTGAAGCACAGGTACTATTAAGCCACCCTGCCCGGTGAGGCCCCGTTGGTTGGGCATTGTCCTGCTGAGCGAAGCGCCGTGGATCTGCTTCCTGGTCAGGGCTCATGTCTGGATCATGGGCTCGACCCCTAGCCGGCGCCCAGTCTATGTTTCTCTCCCTCTCTGTCTCCCTCAGTGCCCCTCCCTCTAGGAATGAATAAATAAAATATTTAAAAAGTATGCTTAATCCAAGGATGGGCCTCCCAGCCTTCCATCATTTGTCCTCCTCCTTTATTTTTTCCTTTGTGTTGTAGAATGGGATGCAGTCGTTTCTCAGAACCTTCAGTTACCCTCCTGCACATCTGCGTGGTTCCATCCTTCTTTCCCTTGTCTTCTTTGTCACGTCCTACTCGCCACCCTTCTCACTGTGTTTTTTAATGCACCTAGGTCTCCCATGTGTTTTTCATTCTTATTTTTTTCTTAGTTTACTTCTTTCATCCTCTCTAGAAGCTCTGTCTTATCTCCCATAGTAGGAACTTTAATGCACGCCTCTTCTGCCCCTATTTTTCGGTCTTGCAGGATGGCCCATAGCATCTAAAACACTCCTGGGTCAGTAGTTTCTGTAGCAAAGAAGAGAGGAATCTGGCTTACACTCTTGCTGCCAATCGGATATCAATTTCATTTTTATTCATCAAGGGGATACATCCCTGAAGCCTCACCATTAAGTCTGATGCTCCCAACTTAGTGTTTCTCTGGGGCAGGTTGTTTTAAATGTCTGGCTTTTCCATTCTTGGCTCCAGCTCCCAGCCTGTACTAGATATTGTCACTTGGCACAGACTGGGATTTACCAATGCCAGCGTAGCCTCCCATAGAAACGTGGCAGGAAAAACTGTGGGGGGAGGTAGCATTTGACTCTGGATTCAAACCGAGATGGAATCCTCTCTCCCCATTAGCAGGTTAACCACGGGAGAGTTACTCAGCCTCTCTGTGCCTCGGTTTTTTCATCTGCAAAGTGGGCAAACCACTAGTGACTACCTCATTAGGTTGTTCCGAGGATGAAATGAGATAATGCCTGTAAACCTTAGAAGAGTGCCTGGAATATGAGCTAAAAAAGGCAGCCGTTCAGTGAAAGCCTGTGGTGGGTCTGATTTTGCACCCAGGTCCCGGCCCCTGACTTGCTGTCCTCTCAGTGTCCGTGCCCGTCTGTGGCCGGGTGTCACCTCGGTTTGCTCGCGCTCTCCCCTCTCCTTGGGGCTTTCCTCAGCTAATCTCGGTGTTTGCAGGCCCGGTTAACTCTCCGGGCTGGAAGGTAACTTGGAAGACAATGCAGGAAGACGATGCGTTGCTGTTACCAGTGGTGATTTTATGGCTTGTTGGTAGAGGCTTGTAATAAGAGGTTTTTGTTTCATAAAGCAACAGGGATTATCTAAAAGATAAAAATCCCTTCCCCATGCTTATTATAGTTATGCCTACTTATTGTAAAAGGTAAGAATATACATTACAGAAGTATAAACTTCTATACATTACAGAAGTATAAAGAATATACATTGTGAAAGGTATGTTTCCTAGATATTTCTTTTTCTCTTGTCCTCAAATTTTTAAAAATTAAATTTATCGGGGTGACATTGGTTAGTAACATTATATAAGTTTCAAATGTACATTTCTATGACACATGTCTGTATATCGCACTGTGTACCCACTGCCCAAGCCTCATCTCCTTCTATCATCCCCTAGATATTTATTGAGTGCCTACTATGTGATAAGATGCTGTCAGATGGTGCAATATAATTGCTGTTAATAGTTTGGTGTATATTCTTATGGCTATTTTAAAGGTCTTTGTAGTCATATAAGCAATATTATTTATGAAAATGAAATCATCCTAAAAAATAAAATAAAACCATCCTTAAAGATTACTCTCTTGTTACCCAATTCTTTTAAACTACTGCATATTATTTTTTGAATGGCTATTTGATAATTTAGTTAATAAAACTTCTCTTGATAGATTGTTGATAGTTCTCACTTTCTTATTATTACAAGCAGTGATACAGTGAAAATCTTTTTATTTATATGTCTTTGGCATATGTATTTCTGGAGAATAAATTTTTAGATGTGGAGTTGCTGGATCAAATTGTGTATTAATCCCGAACCTTAGTAAGTTAAAAAGATTGCTGTTATTTAAATGTCGATCTTCTTCCCTGTTTCCCCATACTTTGAACAGCACTAGGTGGTAATATTCTTCATACTGTCTGCCAGTCTAATTGGTGAGTGTTTTATCACTTTAATTTGCATTGAAAAATCATTGAGCTGGGCCTTTCTGTATTGGTTGGTTGTACTTTATATATTGTGACCTGTACTATGTTCATGTCCTAGGCCCACTGTTTTTTATTGTTCAAGTACAGTTGTTTCAATTTTCCCACCCCCACTTCCCCTGTCCCACCCACCCACACCTCCCACCATTAAGCCTTTGTTGGATTTTTCTTTATTTTATGGTTTACTGAGACCTTGGTGTATTAGTGACTATAGCCCTGTGTCATATGTTGGATTTTTTTTTCTTTAAAAAAATATATACTCTATGACTTACTTATAGACATTTTTAGTTTATAGTTAGTCATATTTCTTAATCTTGCTCGTGGCATCTGGTTTTGGTTTTTGGTTAGGGATTCCTTTCCCAACATGAATGATAAAAATCTGACAGATTTTTTATATTGGTAGTACTTTCTGACTTTTATTATAGTCAAGATTAATGATACCCATCAATGCTTGTTTCCATTTTTCTTTTTGCTTTTAATTGTGTTCTTAGATTTTGCTCTACAGCTTAGCATGTACAGCCTCGTCAAATATTTTCAAAATTTGGCATATTAATTTACTGTGGAGCAAAATAGAGTATAAGGTGGGATCATCTTAGACTCTGTTTAATTGAATACCAAATTATAAGTAATTGCATTATACTTGGTGCCAGTTTAAAGGAAGGTGACCAGAAGTCCCTGTCTGCCTGGGTTAATCTGTTTTTTAGTGTGACTTTTAATAGTGTTTCTTTTCATTCTCAAAAGTGCCTCAGTTTAGAGAAAAGTTGTAAGGATTATAAGGGAGAGTTGTTTACATGGGATGGTTCTTTAAGATATTTTACTATTAAGGCTTCAGTTATTTTTGGTTACATTATCCCTTCAGTACTTAGTAGTACTTCATTTGCTTTAGCTTTTAAAAAACTTCTTCATTATTTTCATGGTGCACTTACTGCAAACTTCATAGCATTGCTTGTGTGAGGTATTTCTAGAGTAGTGATGTGTGTACTCTCTTAACCTTTATTCCAATTTCTAGAATAATGTTTACTTTTTGAGTAAAATGTCCCTCCAAATTCTTATCAGTATTGTCCTAAAGACAAGGAAGCATTTGTCTGTGTGTTCATATGTTTTGGTTATATTTTACTAAATATATGATACAACCTTTTTTTGTGTGGATATGACGGAATGTTTTCACCTGGCCAGATAAACCTCTAGCTGTCACATTAATGGTTTTCGGTGTTGAGTGTGTCCACAGACAGGAATTAGCTGACGCTGGCGTCATGGGACTTCTAGCAGGCCGAGCGATGCTGCCTTAACACAGATCCCGGTGGCACTGCCTTAGTGCAGGTCCCTGCTGTGCTGGGTAGCAGTGTTGAGAAAGCCAGGTGCTTGCTGTCAGCCAGCCAGGTTTTTATCTAGCTTGTTTTGTCACTGAGACAACATTTCTCCAGCCTTGTCTTACGTAGCATTGTATCAGAGGCCTTGTTATAATGTAGGTTAAGTGTGCCTATTACCTTTGTTTTCTTTACTAACTCTGTTACCACTTAAGAGATTTATAGAGTTTAGAATTACTCTCTTCACCAGGGATTGTGAACTGTTACTCCATCTCCTTTCTAAAACTGTTACTGCACAATTTGGGATGTTTTATGAAGTTGCCATTTTAAAAGGCCAGATAGTTTCCTTGAGTCTTGTACAATGTCTTGTACACATGAATGTATCTTTAAAACCTTAATTTTTTTACATTTCAGGTTTTGGTGTGTTTATACATATTATAATATAGATGTTTCTAGCATTATATATTTATATATATCTGTGACCATTGGTTTTAGTATATTTTGGCCTCTTTAATAAAATTTTAATATTTGAGAATATTAATCTGGTGAATAAAGCACCAAATAGAAATTCCTACTTGTGTTATCATTAACTTTTAAATTTCACTCTTTGTATTTGTAGGTATTTACTCTACTTATTTGTAGGTATTTTCAGCTTTACACTATGTAGAATGTAGATAAGTATTTTCATAACGAGTTTATGCTTTGAAAGTATATATCTAGACACTAAGGATAAATTATATGGATGAAATTTTTACTGTTATTTTTGCAATGGGTGCAATAATATAAGCAAAAGTGTTTTTTATAGGTACTTAGTCATGTTTTTTGTTTTCTAATATATAAATAATATAATATGAAGTATAATGTTTGTCATTTTTGTTTTTGTGATTTCTCTACAGAGAGTGATAACGAACTCTCGAGTGGAACAGGTGATGTGTCTAAGGATTGTCCTGAGAAGATCCTGTATTCTTGGGGAGAGTTGCTAGGAAGATGGTAAAATTTATTTTTTTAATTGATAATTTTATGTTTATATAATCTGTGTTGTATTAAGTTTTATATTATATGAATTTGTTTTAAGATCTATGTATTCCTGTATCTTAATAGTTTAATGTACTTTAAAAACATAAAAGTTATAAAAGTTAAAATAAAATTCATAAATACTCTTTATGTTTGTGTAGGCCTTCCCCCCACTATCATCTTATTTATAAGCCATAACATGGCTCAGAGCAGTCACTTTTATGCTGTTACATTGACAATACATGTAAATACCTATTGTTAAAGTGTTACATTTCCTTTCTCTACTAAGTCTATTACCACTAAAGGGGGCTGTAGATTTTAGAAGTACTCATTCACCATTGATTATAAACTGTAACTCAGTCTGTTCTATTCTTCTTGACTAAAAGTCTTCTTGACTTTACATTTTGGGGTTTTATCTGGAACTGCAAAAGAAGGTACTCTGTTTATATTTGTTGTAAATACTCTTTATATTTATTATAATTGAGTTTTTAAAAAAGATAATCATGAGTATTGTATGCAGGTAAAATAAACTCTTGCCAGCCAAGAGACTCCACCACACCAATGCAGATACGCAGAGAACACTACTTTTTTACTGAGTGTGCATATCAGTTATATGCATGCAGGTAGTCTAGGAGAAAGTACAAAGTTTGGGATGAACTTCATACATTTTATACAATCAGGTATGAGAAAGATCAGTTAAAACTACTTGAAGAGACAAATGAATGTTACGGTGATCTCCTGTACGAATCCTTAGAGACTCCTGAGTTAATGTGGAGATGTATATTTATAGATCCAAGCATTGGAAGGCTTATGGCTTCTTATTGTAAAATATGGAGACTAGGTTTATCAGATTCCTAACTAAACTGTTGAGCCCATTATGTCTGTAAGGAGATATTCTAAGAGGAAGAGAGGGCCAGCTGCTTCACCTCTATTAAACAAAGAAAGTAATTTATCTTACTGTACAAATATAAAATGAACACATCTCAGAGTTTATTTGACTCATTAACTGATAGGAAGCCAGTAAATATTAGAACCAATAAAAATGAGGATTTGATTTAGAGATTTATATTCTCCACCAGACAATTCATTGGCATTGCCATGAGAAGGAATCGTTTGAATAGCTGAGAAAAAAACTTCAGCATTATTACCAGTTTCCTACACATTATCCTCTATCTGTTGAGAGGTGTAAATGAGGCTCGTCAAAGGGAAATAAAGGTGTGTACCCTACAGCATCAGGTAGTTCTCAGGCTCCAGCGTTCCGCCGAAGGGACGCCAAGCAGTCTCTTCAGCCAGCAGCGGCAGGGACGTGCGGGGCAGGCCTGGGACGGACTTTGGGGAGGGGTGTTCGGAGCCTGGCTCTGCGCTGCGGCAGCGGCTCGCCTGCTCACAGTCAGCTCCGGGGCCTCAGATGGTTCTTTCTGTGCCTTCAAATGCTGCCTAGAAATATTTAGTTACCACATTTGTTATTACAAATAAGTTCATAGGGCAAATAAGGAAAAGTAAATGAGAGGAAGAAACCCTTTCTTTGGTGGAATAACATGGTTCACCAGTCAAGAGGACAGGATCAAGAAAAAGTCAAAAACATCATAGAGCGTAAACTCTTACCACTATTTCATGCCCTTCCTCCACTGCCCCCCATTTTTCTCTTGACCCAGGCTTATTCTTTATGTAAACTTGTTAATACACTTTTCCTAAGAGCAGCAGTTCAGCAGTGGGGAGGGGAGTATGCATGTTTCATTTTCTTGTGTTCTCAGGCACAGTAACCTTGGGGCACGACCGAAAGGGCTGTCGACTCTGGTGAAGAGTGGCGTCCCTGAAGCTCTGAGGGCAGAGGTATGGCAGCTGTTAGCTGGCTGCCATGACAACCAGGCCATGCTGGATAACTACCGACTGCTCATCACAAAGGTAGGAAGCTCTTTTCATGTTATGCTCCTAGGATGTATTAAAGAAATGCTGCCTCCATAGCTCCAATAAGCCATACATGCGTTGGACCCATTTCGGAACTGTGTTGGTGCGGGGCAGGGAATAGTTCTGCCTTCCGTTCTGAGCACTCGAGGGGTCCAGGCAAATGACGCCCCTCGTCATCGGTGACCACTCCATGGCTTGGCTTTACAGTAATTAGTTACCAGATTGGAATAGAGTTATATTTCAAGTATAATCAATTAACCTTTTTTTTTACTGTTTGCGATTCATATAGTTATACTTGTGCACAGTGTAATTATCTTCTAGTATAATTTTAAAATCAAATTACCTTGAAATGACAAGGTCTTCTGTGCTTATGTGGCCTTGCGCTTCAATGATGTGGCGGTTGCCCAGGTCCTTGTTCTGTCAGGAGCATCTGGGTCCAACGTAAATTCCTCTGCTTCTGTCTGAAAAGCTGATTCTGGAGCACAGTAAATAAAGGTCATCCTTGATCCTAGACGGTCTTCGTAGGTCTCACCTCCTACATAGATTTTAAAATAATAGCAACATGTGTTTTTAAAAAATCTCGATACGTAAGTGCGATTTTTGGATAACCAAGACTTGTTCCTGAGGATATGTCAGCTTTTATGATTCTTTAGTTCCTCTCATTCCTTCTTCCCTCTCTTCCCTCTTTGCCCCTTCCCTTTCACAATGTTTTTGAGTGTCTCGTATATTCAGTCACTGCTAAATTCAGGGTCTTTTTTAGACCATTTTTTTACGATGGTTTTCTAAAGCGGCATGTGCAAGGTGGCGCACTGACGTGGGGTTGCGGAGGGTGTCTAAAGTTTCATCTATATTTTTGAAATTACCAGTACAAAAGAACGTGAAGCTGTGCTGATACTTGCTGTGCTGTGACACTGAGACCTCACCAGGTCCTAGGGCCCAATGGCCATTTATCCCATGTGGCTCAGGAATGACCTGCCAGAAGGAAGGGCTTACAGTCCTTGGGGCTGAATAATTGTGGTGCTCACACTCATACGCTCGCTTTCACAATACTAGGTTTTTGCAGTTTGCAAGTGTTTGATTAAGTGGATTTACAGGTTATCTAGTTTTAATTTAACTGTAACTCATAGGATGGGTGAGCAGTTTAAAAAGATTCTGTCACAAGGTGTTACATGGCAAGATATTAAAAAAACCCTAATCTAACCCATCAAGTAAGAATTAATGTTATGATAAAATGGGTAAGAGAGAAGCTACTTTTGGAAATAAACTCATGTTATTTATAGAGATGGACATTTGACACATTTGGCAATTTAAATATCACTGTTGTTTATCACTGAAAACTTACATGTGTGCTATCATAAAAACTCTTAATACCTTCTTCAGAAACCTGGAATCAGGAATGTCAAATATGGTTAAACTTGTACAAGTATTTGCAGAGAATTGGGACTGAAGGTTAAAAATATAAAAATAGTGGTATAATACAGTAGCATATGTGCATAATAAAAATAAATAATACAAGAAATATACATATATTGGAAGTTTATGCTCAGAACAGTTTTTATTGATGGGGCTATCTGAGCAGAAATGTCCCAAGACTGTAATTCTGGGTGTTTGACCACTTTTTCATATAAATAACAAACTGTATGCTTTTAGTGGCTGCTCATGGTGTAGCAAGTAGAGGCTTTGTTAATTCATACCTTTTAAGACTTCAAACTTTGGGAGAAAAATTAAACTATTATTTATGAACTCCTGACACTGCAGTGAATGCTGGTGTATATGATAAAAGTTTTACCGTAAATACCAAGCGCCACTTGAGGAACTTGCCCGGGGTCCCAAGCTAGTAAGCAACGGAGCTTCAAGTCTCAAGCCACAGTCTCCCCCCACAGTGGACACCAACATTCCCTCCTGGATTCGAGTCTCACTTCTCCCACATAGTCATTTGTGATCTCGAGAAGTTTTCCCAACTTTTTAAGCCTCAGTCTCATCATTTGTAAAGCAGAGATAATGGGACTGTTGTGGGAATTCAATAATAGGACATAGTGCTAAGCCCATAGTACATATTCAAGATTAGCGTCTACTGTCTTTACCAATATGATATTACATCCTGAACATGATAATAGTAATAAGGGACATAGTATCAGTGTAAACTTCTACTTCAATATGTGTACGAGGCAACTTCCAGCCACACAGTCTTCAGAGGAGCACAAGACGTGCCTAACAGCCGATGGAATCGGAAGGAAATCTTCATGGAAGCATGAAGTGTCAGATTTGTCTTTTTTTGTTTGCTTGTTTTTGGCTTGTTTTTCCTGGGTGGTGTATATCATGGAATGTTTGAATCCTAAAACTTGACTTTGTAGTGATTCATGAGTTATTATTTTAGTTATGCATATTCAGTTATATCAAAAAGTAAAATGACATTCTCTAAAAACCGCTCCTACTGAGTGTCTGATGTGATAAGATTGCAAAGCAGGTATTAATTTCATTCACTTACTGATTCGCTCATCTATTCAGTAGCTCTTTATTGAGCATCTTTTATGGGCTGCACTCCCTGCGGTTTCTGGGCCTGCGTGGAGGACAGGAGTTCACACCCCGAGGCGTGTTGCTTTGGGAGAAGTCAGGCCCGTGCACGGAGAGGTCATGTGTGTCCTGGTACAGGCTGCAGTGGCCTCTCAGGCAGGCGCGTAGGAGGCAGGTGAGGCGGCGACAGCTGCGCGTGGGTGAGCCCGGGGAGACTCCCCAGGGCAGATGGGCCCGTGGTGGGAATTACGGACGTCTGAGCAGCCGAGGGGAGGGGCCCGGTGTAGAGGGGCCGTGGAACCCCCCAGCTGCCCGTCAGTGACCGGCTGGGTTACCCAGGGGGCCTGAGGGAGTGAGATCGGTGTGCTCTCTCCTCACCTCCCCACACCCTAGTTGGCCAACTGCATCTGCTGTTCACAAATCAGTGCTTATCCCTTGTTAAATGGGAAAAATGAGAAACCTCAGAAGCTATATCATATCAAAATATCACAAGAGAATGTTTAATTGGTCACCTAGGATTGATGGGATAGAATTTTAACAAGTCGTATCATAATGTCTACTCAATAAGTCATATCATAGTGTCTACTCAGTAAGTGTTTGAGTACCTGTTGTCCAAGTTCTGTGCTAGGTTGGTGATAGATATTAATTTTTAAAATCAGTGAACTGAAAATAGCATCTGTTGGCTAAATATAAAATAGTATAAACTTGCAAAGAAGAAGGCCAAGCTTATAAACTGCAGGCAGCATGTGCTGGGACCTCTATCAAAGAGCAAAAAGGGCAATCGTTGCAAATATTACTTTGGCAGTTGCTGCAAAAATCCTTTTTTGGGATATAAATAAAAGACAGTCATTGTAAGAGCCTGTACATTGTCTGCTTCCTTGAGTGTTGGGCGGAGAGATAAAGCCTCCCATGTTTATCCTTGTCAGGGTGTTGGTGCTGCTCAGAGCAGAGCCTGTCTTCTCTCTACTCTCCGGCGTGTTATTGTAGCAGGCAGCTTTTAATAAAGCATGTTGCTGAAGAAAAACGTTTACTCTACTTTGTTGGAATGTACTATAATTATAGTTACAGACATTCTCAAGAGGAAGTGTTTAAATTGGTATTTTTCTTAGGATAGAATAACAGTGAATAATTGAAAAGTGAAATTATGGTATCAGTCATATATTTTTTATTTGATAAGTTTTCACAGCTAAATTAAACTCTGTAGATCATTTAGTCAGGTAGATGTTGGCCTTTTCTTTACATTGTTTATATTTTATCAATTCAGGGTAGTATGCTAATCAGCCAACTCTCAACACTAGATTTCACTGAGAGGCAGGACGTCGCTAATTGCACAGCAGCCCTGTCTCTGCTGTCACCTTGTCCAGTTGACAGAAATGAGCTTTTTGACAGAACAGGGTTATTCCAGCTCAGGCAGTACCATTGAGGTACAGGAAAGCCACATATTCTTGTATCAATGCAGCCATAACATTTACAAAATTTCTCCAGAAAATTTAGAGTTCTGTAAAATTTATTAATCAAAAAAATAAGGTGGCAAGAATAAAGAGGAACTGTGTTGTAATGTAAATATCTTGAACATGTAGATATACCGGAAGGTCTTTATTAAAGGAAACTAAGAATTATTGAAAGAGATATTGAAAGATAGTGTACTCTTCATTTTTTCTTGTGTGGTAAGAGTGGTGGTTTCTGACTACATAGTTATACCTTTGTTTATTATTTCACAGCATAATTTTTATCAGATCGTCTTGGTCCCCATCCCTTGGGCTCTTTCATTGTCTGTCATATCTATATTGACACCTGCATGTGAAAGCTGCCATTGTGTGTGAATCTGAGAACTAAAAGGTTCCCACCGGTGCTGACATGTTTCTGTAAACTTTACAAATATATTCTTGATTATTTTCATGTACTTAAAGGATAATGTTCTGGTTTTTTGGTAACAAATATTGGTTTTGTTATCCTTTAAACATAGTCATAGTTTTGAGGTGAATTAAAGAAAAGATGATTTTCTGATGTTACCCTCATTTTCATCTGATGGAGTTAGAGTAGGAGTCCACTGTTTTGAAGGCAGGCTTTTGGGTAATTGTTGAGCATAGGTGATTCAGTGGCAGGAAAGCTATATTTATAGCTATAGACATAAGGATAAGAGGGGGGCAGGGATATTTTTCTTAAGTCTCACAAATTTTCAGGAGCCTGGGATTACAATGTGACTCCTGTGTCCCAATTTCATAATCACTGACCATATTTGCATATTTCTAGAGCATGTGTGTTTGTTTTTTTATTTTTTATTTTTTAGAAAACTTTATTTATTTATTTTTAGAGAGAAGGGAAAGGGGGAAGGAAGAGAGAGAGAGAAACATCAATTGGTTGCTTCTCACATGCCCCTGACTGGGGACCTGGCCCACAACCCAGGCATGGCCCTGGCTGGGAATCGAACCAGCGACCATCCAGATCCCAGGCCAGAGCTCAACCCACTGAGCCACACCAGC